GAGGGAGGGAAAGGAAGGGAGGGGAAGGGAAAGGAAGGAAGGAAGGAAGGATGAGGGTAGAAGGAGGTGTTTGGATGGGAGAGAAGGAAGAAGGGAGGGGAAGGAAAGAAGGGGGAAGGAAGAATGAGGGTCGAAGGGAGAGTTTTGATGGGAGAGAAGGAAGGGAAAGGAAGGATGAGGGTAGAAGGTGTTTGGATGGGAGAGAAGGAAGGAGGGAGGGAAAGGAAGGAAGTCCATATTAGCAAAACTTGGAGAATAATTTAAAAAAAAACCTTTCTGTGAAATCTTCATTGTGATGAGGAATAAATGGATCTCTCTCCAAATGAGACAAGCCATTGCAGAACAGGAAGAGGCAAAAGCAAGAATAACTTGGATCTGCCCATATACTATGCCGATTACCTTACAACAGCTGCGGAAGGACTCAATGCGTACAGATACTCCTCGAGTTAACGACCGTAATGAGCTTCTACCCTTTCAGAGAAACGGTGGTGGTCGTAAGTCGAGGCCCCACAGCCGCCCCTTACCTTTGTGTAACCTTCCCTTCTCCTTCCTTGTCCTTGCAGTCGAAAGAAACCTCGTCCGTCCTCAGTTGCGACATTTCCACAGACGATCAATTCATCGTCACCGGATCCGGGGACAAAAAGGCCTCCGTTTACGAAGTCATGTACTGACCAGAATCGCGGCATTGCTCCAGACCGGCCTCCAAAGAGAAGGAGCGGCTCTCGTCGGCGCCCCTTTCTCGGCTTTTGATTTTTTTCCAGCCAAAGAATCCCCTCACAATCCAGGACACGGAACCCACAACGAGGACGCTGCGTGTGCGTGTGTGTTGGGGGTGGGTGGGAAGGCAGCCTCCCCCCCCCAGCCCCCCCCCCCGGTCTTCCACTCCACCCGAGGCTTTTTTCACGGAAGTTTTTTTTTAAGTGGTTTCCTCGCCCGGTTGCCCTCATCCCGGCATGGTGGGAACAAAAAGTTGGCGCTCTCTTTGGTGTGTGGGGTGTGTGCGTGGGTGTGCGTGCGTGCGCGCAAGTGTGTGTCCCTCATTGAAATTCCTTTGGAAAAGTTTGTGGTTGTATTTTAACCTTTTTTTAAAAAACAAAAAAAACATGAACTTTCAAATAAAGAGATGGTGGTGTTTGGGTTACTTACTGGCCCCTCTGGATCGCTTCTGCTTTTGTAAGATTCGTTCGTGTGTGGGGCTTTTCCCCTCGCACGCTGGGGGCCGCCATCTTGACTCGATTGACCTGCCTGGGGTCTTGGGCGACTCGTGAAAAATGCCTTCGGTTTCTATGCGTGTTCAGAGGTGCAAGAGCACTGAAATTGAGGACAGAGGGAAGTAAGGAGGAACAGCGATGTGGACGAGATTTTAATCTCTTTTTGTTTTTTTCTTTTTAAATGATCCCAGTGCTTTGGATCACGAGTGTAGGTCCTGGATGGTTTGTGGGAAACCTAGAAAGGTGTTTCTCTTCAGTTGTGTGGAAGGATGCAAAGTTTGGGGTAAGGAGTTTTGCTGGACTCCCAGAATTCCCCAACCAGCATTAATGAACTTCAACTCCCAGAATTCCCTTGTCCAGCGTTAATGGACTTGCATTCCCAGAATTCCCCAACCAGCATTAACGAACTTCAACTCCCAGAATTCCCTTGTCCAGCGTTAATGGACTTGCATTCCCAGAATTCCCCAACCAGCATTAACGAACTTCAACTTCCAGTATTCCCCAACCTGCATTAATGAACTTCAACTCCCAGAATTCCCTTGGCCAGAATTAATCGACTTCAACTCCCAGAATTCCCTTGGCCAGAATTAATGGACTTCAACTCCCAGAATTCCCTTGGCCAGAATTAATGGACTTCAACTGCCAGAATTCCCCAACCAGGATTAACGAGTTTCAACTCCCAGAATTCCCCTGACCAGCATTAGTGGATTTCAATTGCCAGAATTTTGGGAGTTGAAGTCCACACATCTTCAAGTTGCCAAGAATAAGTAATACTACTCTTAATACATCGTTCATAAAAGTTTCTTTTTTAAATACCTTTACAATTATTATGTATTTTTATGTTTATTTTCTCCTCTATGCACATAACGTTTGGAAAGTTCTTCCCATAAACACATCGAGCCAACAAATTTTTGTACACTATGTTCAAAAGTGCAAAAGGAATATCAGGCATGCATCTGTGGTTTTCACGTTGCCGAAAAGCAACTACCATCATCACCTGGGCTACAGGTCTTGCTGACCAGGATTTGTGAGAATCAGTGGCCAACATGAATGTGGGCTGGCTTCTCGTCATGTGCTTAACCAGGTCAGTGGTGGTGATTCTCACATGGTCCTGCTAATCCGGTGGGTGTTTGGAAAAGCAGCAGACAGGTTTAACTTTAAATCAAGGGAATTATAAATCAAATTAACTTGGGTCACCCAAAGGAGACAATCAAAAAGTAATGGCCTAGACTGGTCCGCTCAGTCCTCCAAGAAAAAGAGAGGAAGCTGCAGAGTGACTGAAACAACTGTCCGGTCTGGCTCATTTTCAAAAAAATGGGCTAACTACAGTTAGTCCTCAACTTACAACTGGAATGGAGACAATAGGGTGGTTTTATTGGCAGAAATGGAAAGTAAAAACCACTTTCCAGCAAAAATAAATCATGACCATGTGATCACGGGGTGCAGTAAACGGTAGGACTAGATGACCTACAAGGTCCCTTCCAATTCTGATTATCTGTTGTCCGTTACCCGTTAAATAAGAGCCAGGTCAAAACTAGTTATTGGTCACATATTGACCACAAGGGGTGAACAAGTTGTAGTTGCAACTTTGAAATCAGGTGATAAGTTCCAGGGTCCGTCATAACTTCGAATAGCCACTAAGCAACCGGTCATAATGTCAGGGACAACCTGTAGATCTACCTGCGAGGCGTAAATGCAGCCCCTTTTTTTTTACTTGCGCCCAAAAATGAAAATATGGATTGCAGCATTCAGGTGGCCGGGATGTGGGCGGGGCTCTGATGAGCCTGATGCAGATTGGCCACTCAGCTTGTCAATCACAACGTTGAGAATGATCTTCTAGCCCCTTCTGAGGGGGGGAATCGTGAAAAGATTTGGTTCCATCGGGGATCTGATAGAAACCCCCCACCCCCGCTGCTTCTTGAGGGGAGAAAAATAATCTTCCTGAGACTCTCAGCTCTCAAGTTTCTAGTCCTCATGTCCACCAAGGAGGGTTGGAAGCGCAAATGGCCGTTTCCGAAGCCAGTGATGAGGGAATGAATCCATTTTTCCCAGCGTTGGGACCTCCTAGCCGTCCAAAGTGAGGAACGTAGCTCAGTAAACCAGTTCGTAAACGGTGGCTTTCTTGTCTCCCGATCCAGTCACGATAAACTTGTCGTTAGCCGAGATGTCACAGCTCAGGACTGAGGAAGATTCTTTGGACTGCAAAGAAAAGCAGGGAAATTGAAAGGGAGAAATGGACGGATTCTGATGACGTTCACTGGGAAATTTGCCAGATTTTCACAAGAAGGCCTATGCCAATTATTGGTGGCCTCCTTTCGGCTACCTAGAACTCACCTTCTCCTAGTGACTGGCCCAAAGCCACCCCGCTGACTTTCAGGGCCCAGGCAGAACTAGAACTCACTACCTCCCAGCTTCTGGTACCTTAATCACTAGAGACCAAACTCTTCAATAGGGAAGAAACCGATCACCAGGAGAAGGTGAGTTCTAGTCCCGTCGTCAGTATGAAAGCTATCTGGGTGACTCTGGGCCACCACTAGCAGACAGTGAGTTCTAGTCCCCAAATTAGGCATGAAAACCAGCTAGGTGACTTTGAGCCGATCACTAGGAAATGGGGAATTCTAGTCTTGCGCGTTACGCACAAACTCTGGCCAGGTGACTTTCCCCAATCAGCAGGAGAGGGTGAGTTCTATTTTATTGATGGATGGATTGATTTGATCTGATTTGTACTGCCGTCTATTCGCCGTGGCAACTCAAGGCAGCTTACAACATAATAAAACCACAATTTGAAATGATAAAAACTCATAAAATTAAATAATTCATATAATAAAATCACACACCCCCACCCCCGCAGCAGATTACACAAGCCATTTAATGGGCACCATCCCGCTCTGGGTTCCCCAGGTCTTCAACGCCTTCCGGAAGAGAATCAAAGTGGGGCGGGCAGTCTAATCTCTGGGGGGGAGGGGATGTTCCAGAGGGAGGGAGCCACCACGGAGAAGGCCCTTCTTCTGGGTCCCACCTGGTGTGTCTGCCTCAGATGGGACTGCGACATTCCCTGCCTTCCTTCTCTGATGGATCAGGTACATGGGTGGCAAGAGACGGTCCTGCATGAAAGCCGGCTGGGTGACTTTGGGCCAATCCCCAGGAGACGGTGAGTTCTAGTCCCACCTTAGGCATGAAAGCCGGTTGGGTGATTTTGGGCCAATCACCAGGAGACCGTGAGTTCTAGTCCCACCTTAGGCATGAAAACCGGCCGGGTGATTTTGGGTCATTCTCTCTCTCTCTCTCTCAGCCCAACTCACCTCACAGGGTTGTTATTGTGAGGAAAATAAGAGGAGGGAGGAGGAGTAGATATACCAGTATTGTTACTCACCTTGAGTTATTTATAAAAATAATAAAAAGCTGGGATGCAAATAATAAAATTTAAAAACTTAATGAATTAAATTAAACCGAGAGCATATCCACAGGTAAGCCAAGAGCAAGCGTCTAAAACAATGCCTGAATATTAAGGGCCGAAGGAGAAACCCCGTCTTATGTGGTAGCTCTAAGAAGCGAGCCAAAACGGCAACCTGGGTCCTCTTTAAAACCCCGCCTGGCTGAATCGTACGGTTCTCCTTTCCATCCAGAAATCCCACAAATCATTTTGTATTTTCTGCAGAGAGTGAAAGCGTCCAGCCCAGGGGGTCTCCAACCTTGGTAACTTTTAAGCCTTGGAGGACTTGGTGACTTTAAGCTGGATTGGGAATTCTGGGAGTTGAAGTTTTAAAGTGGCCAAGGATGGAGATCCCCGCCAACAGCCGTGCAACCTTTCGTCTCCATTACCTGAAAGATGCTGGCCCCGTAGGGAGCCCGCCACGCATTAAGCAGATTATCTTTGCCAGTGCTGATAAACCATTTGCCTGCAGCGAGAGAAGAAAAACACGAAGAAGGGGTTGATTCAGTCTGTGCCTGCGATCTTTACAAATGGAAAAGGGAGGAGAGCTCCCCCGGGAGCCCTTTAAGGGTCCTCGATTTACAACCATTCATTTAGCGACCGCTTAAAGTTACCCGTGCCCAAGTTCCAAGTAGTAACGCCCGTAGAAAGCAGAACTCCAAGGCAGGCCTATTCCTCAGAGAACGGATTTCTTGGAGATCTCGTATTTGGCACAAACTGACTGAAAGTTCGCCACCGTTTTTACCTGATTACACAGGGAAAGTTCCCCTTTCTCCAGTCAATCAGTCTCACTGGCCAATCAAGGTACTGGCTGGTCGCCTGGTAACCAGACTCCTCCTCTCTCTAGCCACCTGTTGGAGTGACCTTGGTTCCCACAGGAAACTATTTTGGCTACAGAAATAACCCCATCTTACTTTACTTCCCCAGTGGTGAGTTTCAAACAGGTTTCCTACTGGTTCGGTGTGAGCGTGTGCTTTGTGTGCGTGCACACAGCGTTTGCAACTCGCCTTCTGCTGAAGCCCTGTGTGTAAAACAGCTGAGGCGCGGCAATTGGCGCAAAGCAGCTGAGGTTGAAAAGCAGGAAATAAAGGTTAGTATAGGGTTGGGGCGGGTTTTAAGAGGACCAGCTGATTTGTGGGCCCAGCAGCTGATCGTCGGAGCAAACCAGTTTGCTCACAGATCATCATTGGCGCTACCGGTTCGGCCAAACCGGGCCAAACCAGCAGAATACCACCACTGTTCCCCCCTCCTTATCCCATCTTTGCATTGTGGCAACCCAAAATGGCCCCAGGCAAGTTCACTTCAGCATTGACAACAAGGCTGCTGAAAAAAGTGACTTACAAACCACATAAAATCCCATTTACAACCATTGCAGCCTCCCACAGTCACTCAGTCGTTTGTCAACTGACATGTATTTTATGACAGTTGCAACGTCCTGGGGTCATGTGGTTTCCCATTTGTGACCTTCCCAATCGGCTTCCGACAAGCAAAATCAAAGGGAGAAGTCAGACCTGCTTAACGACCACATTATTCACTTAAAAATGGCAGTGGGGAAAAAAAAGGTTGTCAACTCAGGTGCCACTCCTTTAAACAGCTATCTTTGCTTAGCCATGGAAATTCTGTCCCAATTGTGGTCGTAAGTCGAGGACGACTTGTATAGCACTTTAAAAAAAACAACAACTATTGATGTCAACTATAGGTAATCCTCAACTGGCGACCACAATCAAGCCCAGAATTTACGTTGCTAAGTGAGAAATTTGTTAAGTGAATTTTGCCACATGTTACGACTTTTCTTGGCACATTTGTTAAGTGAATCTGGATTTCCCATTAATTTTGTTCATCCGAACATCATAAAAGTGGGATCATATGACCCGGGGATGCTGCAACGGTCATGTCATGCCCCTGTTGGAATCCGATTCTGAGGGAGAGACGGAACAGCTGACAGAGAGTGGGAGTTTGGCTCCAGTGGCTGTGGAGGAAACTGGGGAAGGGCACAGTCAGGCTGGGCATTCAGAGGAAGACCCAGGCTCACCCCCTCTTCATCCTAGGGCACGCAGGGAGGAATGGAGAAGGGAGCAACATGAGTTGCATGGTTTAACAGGGGAGGAAAGGGCCCTGATCCCCTTCATGGGCTGCAGCTGTGAGGACTATTTAAAAGGGCAAACTGCACATGGCAAAGTTGCTGGAAGCAAAGCGTGAATTATCTTGGTTTGTCACGTCTTATCTGAGTTCTTGCGTCCTCCCAAGTGTGTGTATTTCGCTATCTTTTGACGACTTCAATCCCTTATCCTGCCCTGTCTCGTTAATTGCTTCAGCATGGTTTGTGTTGGTTTTTATTTATAATTTATAAGTATTTTTGGTTCGGACTAAATTTCTTCCCTTTAAAAACTGTTCTTGGGAGAGTTTTTTTCCCCAGCCAATGATAACCGGACATGGGGAGCCAAGTTAAAAGAATTAAAGGGGCTTTATGTATTTTTGTGACTTTATTGCTTTTGTGCCAATGGTCATCACAGGTCATAAATATGAGTCAGTTGCCAAGCATCCGAATGTAAGTCGTATGACCACGGGGATGCTGCAATGGCCATAAGTGTGAAAAATGGTCGTAAGTCCCTTTTTTTTCAATGCCGTTCTAACTTGGAACGGTCACTAAATGAACTGTTGTAAGTCGAGGACTGCCTATATATTGTAACTTCTTTTATTGTCTTTGCAACCCACAGCTAATCTATTGGAGTCGTTTGCCTATAACTCAGGAGCTCCCCAGTGGATATTTGTTATCCTCATATACAGCCAATCTTTCTTTCTCAACATGAGGGTCACGTTCAGACAACATATGGTGGTAGTTCAATTAACCCCGGGGGAGAAATTGTCCAATGCATCAAGTCATGAATGTATCCGGTGTGTTGCTTCGTGCCACTAAACTGCGCACCCACACCAACACTGAAAAGCCCACAGTTTATACAGAATAGAATATAGAATAACCGAGTTGGAAGGGACCTTGGAGGTCTTCTAGACCAACCCCCCACACACACACAAGCAGGAAAGCCTACAGCATTCCAGACAGATGGCTGTCCAATCTCTTCTTCGAAATCACCTTCTTCGAATCATTTTTTTTTTTTTGGTTTATTGTGTTTTCCTTTCCTGCATTTTACTGTGCTGTGCGACTGTGACTTGGCGAAGCGGCTGGTGCGAAGGCAACCAGGGTGACGACAGACGGGATCAGGAAGGATGCCTGGAGCTCCGCCAGCAGCCTCGTCTTCCTTACCCATGCAACCTACCACAGGAAGCGAACTTCAGGGAGAGGACGCAGCTCTCGTGAAGGTGCAGCTGGTACTTCTCCGATTTCGTCACGTGGAGGATTTCCACGTTGCTGCTCTCCATCCCCACGGCCAGCCACTCTCCCGTGGGGCAGTAGCCCAGGGAGAAGATCTGGAGAGAAACGGAGGGAGATGGGTGAGAAGGGAGGGAGGAAGGAAGGAAGAATGGGAGGGAGGGGGGAAGGAAGGAAGGAAGGAAGGAAGGAAGGAAGGAAGGAAGGAAGGAAGGAAGGAAGGAAGGAAGGAAGGAAGGAAGGAAGGAAGGAAGGAAGGAAAAGGGAAAAAAGGAAGGAAAGGGAAGGAAGGAAAAAGAATAGAAAGAAGGAAAGGAAGGAAGAAAAAGAATGGAAGGAAGGAAGAAGGAAAAGGGAAAAAAGGAAGGAAGGTGGGAAGGGAAGGGAAGGGAAGGGAAGGGAAGGGAAGGAAGGAAGGAAGGAAGGAAGGAAGGAAGGAAGGAAGGAAGGAAGGAAGGAAGGAAGGAAGGAAGGAAAAGTTGAAGGAAGGAATAGAGGGAGGGAGGAAGGAAGGAGAGAGAAAGAGAAAGGAAGGAAGTGAAAAAAGAAAGAAAATGAAAGGGAGGAAGAAAGGAAGGAAGGAAGGAAGGAAGGAAGGAAGGAAGGAAGGAAGGAAAGAAAGAAAGAAAGAAAGAAAGAAAGAAAGAAAGAAAGAAAGAAAGAAAGAAAGAAAGAAAGAAAGAAAGATGGGGATAGTTAAAAATTAAAGCTTTAAAAGGTTTGAGGGCCAGGCTGATGCATTTGAAACACACGAAGCAAAATTCACAGCCAAAGATTCTAGTCCTCATGATTGCAAAGTTAACAGCAGGCAAAGGGTTCATTTACATAAACTAGGTTCATTCATAGTCGAGTGGTTACACTCTTACAACATGCTAAATGAAGTTGGCTTATTTTGGAGAAGGGAGTGACTGATGGGTTACATGAAGCCAGCCCTTGATCACTGGGGAAGCTGGTAGGAAGTTGAAAGTTTAAATATGAAGTCCTCAATTAATGACCCCCGTGGTCGTTGTTTAACGATGGCCACTAGGACTGTCAGAATGGTCATCGATGACCAGCACAGTCACATGATTTTTCAACATACAATTGCCTCACTTAACAACAGAATTCCCAGTCCCAATTACTCTCCTTAAATGAGGACTACCTACAATTATAGCAGTCCTCCTGTTCTGACCACGGCTTCCTGAGACACCAACAAACACCTAAAAAATCCAAAACCCTTTTATTTTAGTTCAATGGCTGTGAATTATCGTCATTCACAGCCCGGAACAAGTCTTAACCAGTTATAATTAGCCCCAGGGACGTCTGATAAGAATGCACCTTATCTGACTTGAAGCACTGCCAATGTCTAAAGTCCCAATTAGTCTTTCCAAAACCAAACAGAGAACAAATTCACCATGGAGCTTTCAGAATCCAAACCGATCAGAGCGAACAACGTTGCTTCCTGCAAAGGTTTTCCTACCTTTGCACTTCCTTTATCCCTTAGGGGAGGGGCAATCACCTCCCAGCCTTATTCCCGAGTCGCCCCTTTTGTCTCCGCTGCTTTTGCCTTCTAGCAGCTCTGTGCACACACGCACTGGGAACAGGCTCCCCTTGTTCCTCTTCCTCGCTGCTGCCAGACTCCAGGGGCTCCGGAGTCAGCACCCCACTCCCAGATGGTCCTAGCCCCATTGCTGCATCGGATGCAGGACCCTCATCCGAGTCCTCCACAGACTCCCAGACTGGACCCTGTTCTTCCCCATTGTCTGATTCCGCTGTCGTCTGCACAGGCTGCCGGCGAACCACAACACCTCCCTTACTGACTGACTGCTTCAACAACCGTTTGAAGTTGCAATGGTGTAAATCAAACAGCTTTGCAATCAGTCTGTGCAATTGCACCCATCACAGCATCCCGAAGTCATGTGATCGCCATTTGCAAGCATCACAACAGGCTGCTAATCAACACAATGCATGAAGAATGCGGAAGCAAAAAAATTGCAATTTGAATGTGGGTGTGTCACATAATATCCTGGTTAAAGACTGCAATGATTTGTATCACCACCAAACGGGAGGTGAGAGAGTTAAATCCATTGAAGTCATGTGATTTTTCCACTTAGTGATGGAGTTGCCGGTCCCATTGTGATCGCTAAATGAGGATCACCGGCTCGTCCGATATCGGTGCGCCAAGATCCTGCCCCTTCCCAGGGCTGATTGGTTGCTACCGGAGAGCCCACCCACTTAAAGGCCGTCCATCAAAAGACTCCACCCCCTTCCCCAGCTGACCTGGGAGTTGAAGTCGTGTTGCTGCAGCTGCCGGCCTTCACGGAGGTCCCAGCACCGGACGGTGTTGTCCAAACCGCCGGTCCAAAGTTTAGTGCCATAATTGGAGATATCAATGCAACTGGCCCCATCTGTGTGACCCTGGAACTGTCTGCAAGGGAGGCAGAAACCAGCAAGAACTCCTTATTTATTTTTATTAAATCACAATAATCTCATATATCTGTACTAAGCTCCACCCTGGTGACAGGAAGAGCATCCGGCCAGTAAACACTCAGCACCATACTCCACCAAGGGATCATGGGATTATTAAAAGAAGATGATAATACTCTCATAAATAAGTTAGTTTATAGATCAGGTGGCTCCCATGGTTGCCCTCGATTTATAACCATCGTGACTTAAGGCAGAAATTCCAGCCTCTGTTATATAAGTTGAGAAGTACCTGTATTTGCTTTGGGGCTGGGAGAAGCTTAGCCAGTGTAGTTTTCTGAACAAACCAGGTTTAAACAGTGTATGGTTTGAATAAATGTCAGCAGAAGAATAAAACTGAGAATAATGCCAGTAGTCCTCGACTTACGACCACAATGGAGCCCAACATTTTGTGGAAAAGAGAAACATTTATTAATTGAATTTTGCCCCATTTTACGACCTTTCGTGCCTCAGTTGTTAAGTGAATCGTTGTGAAGTGATTCATGCGGTCGTTAAGCAAATCTGGCATCCTCCCTTGACTTTCCTTGTCGGAAGCCAGCTGGGAAGGTCACAAATGGGGATCATGTGACACCCACCGACACTGCAACCGTCATAACTACAAGCCAGTTGCCAAGTGCCCGAATTTTGATCACGTGACCACAGAGATGCTGCAATGGTTACTTATGTGAAAACTGGCAAGTCACTTTTTTTCAGTGTCATTGTAACTTTAGACGGCCAGTAAACGAATGGTCGTAAGTCAAGGACTACTGGTAAGGTTGCCCGCATTCCCTTCTCAGCGTTCACAACTAGAGTCCCGCCGCTGAATGTCTAAAACAATCTTGGCAAACACCAAACTAGATATCATGGGTCTCACCTAACCATGGTTTGGTTCTGCAGATCCCAGACCACGATGTTACCGTCGCTACAGCAGGAGAAGCAGACTTTGGCGTCAGGGCTGATGGCCAGGGCGTAGCATGCCGGGGCGGAGGAGGTCAGCTCGGCCTTGATCCGGGGCGTGGGGGCCGCCAGGTCCCAGATGGACAAGGTGCTGGCCTCGCCCCCAACGATGAGGCTGCGGCTGTCAGGAAGAAGCTTGCAGGATCGGATGTAGTTGTCTCGGTTCTGGGAGGGAGAAAGGCAGAAAGTTATTGTGAGAATAATCACAAAATACAGCTGGAGACATGTGAACAATAAGGAAGAGCTGGCAAACGGGATTTCTGCTCATGGCAAAAGACATTTTCCTCAGGAGGGCTGGGGTTTATATACAGGTTCAAATATACAGTCTCTGCCCCTTTCCTGGGTTCACAACCTATCCAACTACCTATCTCCCTATGCCACACCCATAGCATAACACCTGTTTCCTTATCTTTGGAAACTACCCTTGTTCTCATGGCATCTTCCTGTTATGGTCCTTCTGAGCGCAATGGATCATTAACCAGTTCCATTCAGGTCAGAATGACTTAGCGTCACCTTCTCATATCATTATGCCAAAAAATACAAACTTGTCATTTAGAACATAACAAGTCACAAATCAGTACATATTTGTTATATATAACCAGTAATCATTGTAAAAAGGTCACATCTCGAACAAAGATGGAACCCCTTCTGTTCTTCATTTTCTCAGGGGGAACTTGCAATATATATGTTATTACCACATGTAATCGTTCTACAAACCCCGCAACTTGGCTTCCTACCCCCCTAACCCCTGGCATCTCTCAAATCAGGCGGTTTCGAAACAGGGCTGGGATTCAAACATTTCAGCAACTGGTTCTCTGCCAGTTGCTGGGTGGGCATGGCCGGGGTGAAAGCGGCCTGGTTGGCCTCCTGCACCTTGGTGAGCGGGGAGCCATTTTCACTCTCCCTGGGCTATGAAGGCTCTCCTCGAGCCTCCGGGAGGCCCAAGATGGCCGCCCCTGGACTGGAGGCCGGAAATGGGCCCGTTTTGCAGACTTCCAGAACTTCTGGGAAGCCGGTTTTTTGCTCTCCCCAGGCTCCGGAAGGTTTCCTGGAGCTTCCGGGAGGGCAAAAATGGCTGCCCCCGAGCTCCAGAGGCCCTCTGGAGGCCAGAAATGGGCTGTTTTCGGAGTTCCAGAATCTTCCGGGAGGCCCGTTTTTCCCTCTCCCTGAGTCTCCACGCAGGCCCTGCACTTAACTCGCATCCAAAACACGGAGATTCCTGGGAGGGGTGCGCTGAGGCAGGGCCAGCTGGTTGTTGGGACTTACCGGTTCGCCAAACCAGACATAACATTAACGTCCGGATCACCCGAATCGGTCCAAACCGGCTGAATCTCACCCCTGGCTCTAAATATCTTGACACTGCTAAGGACTAGAAACTTGGGCAAGCTTTCTTTTGAAGTGAAAGCACTGGAGGAAGCTAATTTTACAGAATAGCCAAGTCGCAAGGGACCTTGGAGGTCTTCTAGTCCAACCCCCAGCTCGAGCAAGATAACTTATACCAGTGTTTCTCCACCTTGGCGGCTTGAAGATGGATTTCAACTCCCAGAATTCTATGTTGGCTGGGGAATTCTGGGAATTGAAGTCCACACATCTTCAAGCTGTCAAGGTTGAAAAACGTTGCTATGGCATTCTGGAGAAATAGCTCTCCAATCTCTTCTTAGAGGCCTCCAGTATTGGACCACCCATAACTTCTGGTGGCAAGTTGTTTCACAGACTAATTGTTCTCACTGTCTGGAATTTCTCCTTAAATCTAGGTTACATCCAGAGGTGGGATTCAGTCAGTTTCAGACCAGTTCGGGCGAACCACTTGTTAAAATTCTGCCCAGTTTGAACCAGATAATCCCACCACTGGCTGGCCCCAGCCTGTCCAGTTTTCGGCCATTTTCCGAGCTTTTTTTATTTGGGCATTTTCGGGCCATTTTGGGGCCATTTCCTGGGCCAAAAACACCCCAGAAAATGGCCCGCAAAACAGTCCCAAATGGCCCGAAGAACACCCAGGAACAGTCCCAAAAATGGCCTGGAAAACAGCCCGGAAATGGCCGAAAAACAGGCCAAAGAATGAAGGAAGGAAAGAAGGAGGTGGAAAGGAGGAGAAGGAGGGAAGGAAGGAAGGAGATGGAAAGGAGGAGAGGGAGGGAGGGAGGGAGGGAGGGAGGGAGGGAGGGAGGGAAGGAAGGAAGGAAGGAAGGAAGGAAGGAAGGAAGGAAGGAAGGAGATGGAGGGAAGGAAGGAAGGAAGGAGAGGAAAGAAGGAAGGAAGGAAGGAAGGAAGGGAGGGAGGGAGGGAGGGAGGGAGGGAGGGAGGAAGGGAGGGAGGGAGGGAGAGAAGTAAGTAACTAAATAAGTGGTTAATCCAGCCATGCTTACCCAGCCAGACATTACAGCAGAGAACCGGTTGTTAAATTATTTGAATCCCACCACACAATCGCCCAGGATTTGGATGGATGGCTGAAGCTTCCTTCTTGTTGTTGGTTTTCAGGAAGGGGGTTTAAAAAGAATTTCTCAAATGCAGAGAGAACAAAATTATGGCCGGTGAAAAGGGAAAAAACACCAGATCTTCAACCCTTAGGCTGCCCCTGACGTGCAAAATAATGTTACAAATGATAACAAAAGTGGCTGATTTGGGGAACACGGTAGAAAGAGTCTTCCTTGCACGTACCAGGCAGTCCAGCTGGGCCACGGGGGTCTTGGTGCCCGGCTGCGCCACATCCCAGACCTTGACGCAGCCTTTGCCCCCCGTGTAGACGTGCTGGGTGGAATTGCTGATGGTGACGGCACAGACCACCTCGCCGTGGGAGAGCGTGTGGAGCTGGCGGGCGTGGCGTGGGATGCCGGAGCCGATCAGGGCGTCGGGAGGGAAGGGCACCGGCTGCATCTGCCCGTCAGCGCTTACGTGGAAGGAATAGGCCCTGTTAGGACCAGAGAATTAACTGCTATTACAAGCTAGTCCTCGCACAGACAATCACCAATTGAGCCCAAGGTGTATGTCGCTAAGTGAGACAGCTGCCCCATTTGACGACCTTTCCTGCCACGGTTGTTAAAGAAATCATGGCAGTTGTTAAGTGAGTGGTGAAGTGAATCTGGCTTTCCCCTTGTCAGAAGGTCGCAAAAGGGGATCGCAGGACTCCGAGACGCTGCAACTGTCATAAGTATGAGTCAGTTGCTAAGCGCCTGAATTTTGATCACGTCACCATGGGGATGCTGCAAAGGTTCTTAAGTTTGAAATCTGGTCATAAATCACACATTTTTTCAGTGCCGTTGTAACTTTGAACGGTCGCTAAATGAACTGTTACAAACCAAGAACTACCTGAGCTTGTGTTTCTGGTTTTACTGATAAAAGGCTGCCTGATCCAAAGGCTTTGGAGATGGCTATTCTAAATCTCCAATTGTTAATCAACGTTATTGTTTTAATCTTTGAATGTCTTTAATCTTTTCTGTTTTTATTGGCGGTAACTCTTCTAGATCGAGAGTCACATGTGGACAAGATGGAAATAAGCACAGAAAGAAATACTGTATTTTTCAGTGTAAGGCACACTTTTTCCACCCCCAAAAGTGGGTGGGAAACCAGAGGTGAGTATATTCAGCAGGTTCTGACCAGTTCTGGAGAACCGGTAGCGGAAATTTGGAGAA